CCTTCACACTCTGTTTTAAGGGCCATGGTGAAGGGAAAGGGGTAGGGCCTTAGTCTTGCATTTCCCGTAAGATATTTTATGATGATGAGCTTTATTTTTATATTATTCAGCTTAGTTGGTTAGTTAACATTTTATTTATCCCCTAGGAGCAATTCAATTCAATGCATGGTGCATACAGGTAGCCTTTATTATACAATTTACAAATACACATACAAAAATACATACATTTATGCACACACCATATATTAACCTCTGCATACATGTACATACCTACACACATACAGTACATTTACTAAACTTAAGCAACTACATGGCTAATACATGTACAAGAATTAAAACAACTAAAAAAAAAAAACAACAACTAGTCAATAATTTACATTTAGCAGCTGGACCGCTCTAGGAATAAAATTGCATTCTTTGAGTTCTGCAATCTGGGCAGTGATACGATACTCTTAATTAATATGAATATAAATAATAAACAAATAGACAGAATAATTAATTCTATTATTTATTAGTAATGAGGGGGCTAAGCTGAAAAGAAAATGAATGAATGAATTTATTAATATTATGTACCCTTTTTAGTTGTATGTAAACTTGCTATTTAGCTTTTTTCAGGAAACAAAAAACCATGTACAGTTGTCAACATTTGAAGTGGATCAAAAAATGGGAATAGGTGGTGTTTAATAGTTATCAGTTTAGACCATTTTCGCTAACTTTGCCATTTCAAATGGTGACTGCTGTAGTGTAGTTATTAGATTGACGTAGGTCAACTTCAACTTGGAAAATGCCTCATATTTGACCTGCAACAGAAAAGCAGAGACCCAGACTCAGGGCGACACAAAATTCTTATGTATACACAGAACAGTTTTGCCTGGTTCTCGAATCTGATTGGCTGATAGCCGTGCGATATTCTGCAATAACCGCACTCAAGCTGTTGGAAACATGAAGAACTTTTGAGGCTTTTTCAGGCGAGAATGTAGATGTTTAGATCGATTATGCAGTTTATTGACAATAGTGCTTATTTACAGTATGATTAAGCACTTCAGCGGCCATCAGCCTGTCATGCTGAGCAGAGCAAAGATATTTACGCCACAAGATGGCAACAGAAACTGCATAATAAGTCCTTAGGGGAGGAAAAACTCAGCATTTTCCTTTCTCTCGATTGCAACAGAGAAATACTTGGAAATCTCAGTAGACTGATGGCATTTCATGCTGTTCAGCCTTATAATCTTAAAATGTTAGCAAAATAACCTGTGTTGTCATCACTTTAGACATGCAGGATAATCATTCAAATACTAGCTCTAAAGTGACGTTGGTGAATTAGCAGCGGTTTCTGCTGTTCTGACGTCAGCTGCAGATGTGAACGAATGGCGGAAGAAAATAGTTCCTCATACAAAATGATTTTTGAAACTGTCTGATTTTCTGTTTTTTTACACATGATTATGTCATCGAACTGTTGTATAAATGCAATATCACACTCGCAGTATTGCAAAATGGCTGTACATTGTCACTGGCGTGTCACTTAAGCACTCCTTAAGTTATGGCACGCCTTGTGCCATATCACACTGCTATTTATATGGTATTGCTTATCTGTCTGTCTGTCTGTCTGTCTGTCTGTCTGTCCGTTTGTCCGTCCGTCCGTTTCAAAGTATGTCATATTTGTGTTTGTATGATAAAAATAGAATCTGATAATGATGGAATATGTCATCTCATTCTGCTGTAATCAGGAAATCTAGAAAGCTCTAAAAATTACAGGCAGGTAACTGATGAAAATTTAAGTACTTGAATGAATAAACAAAACACAAGCTTCAGGCCTGGTCCTCTTTCGTCTTCCTCTGTCGTCACTTTTCCTTTTTATACTTTTGCTTCTTCCGTGGGTCTTAAGATAGGTGGTGCACACAGGTGACACACATCAGCGCTAACATCACAGCCTCTTTCTGTTCCCACGGCTCTCGGCTACGCCCCCCTAATGACAGTCAGTAATCATTACTATCAGGCGACTCGACTGCTATTATCTGCTTTTGCCCTTCGATCTGTAGACTATAGCTTCAGTCTTTATTTTATTCATGATCATTTGAATGCATATTGCAGATCTTTTTTCTGCTTCTGACTGAAATCAACAAAAGTTTTCTACAAACATTGGTAATTGTTTCAAACAAAACTGCATGAATTGAGAGCAAGCGTGCTGTGCCTGCTTTTTTTTTTTTTTACATTCTCATAGGTAATTGGAGGCAGTTCTTGTGAAGGATCGGTTATCCAGTTTAATGGCGGGTCCTGCTGCACATTTTATTCAGACTTCTTTCAATGTCAGACTCTGTGTTTGAAGCAAGCGTGCCCACTGAACGGTGAGGTGTCTGTGCCTGCTGAGAGCTCAGAGCTGTGGGCTGGATTGATGGAGTGGTGTCAGCGTGAATTTGCTCTGTGTGGGCAGCAGGACAGGCTGGAGGTGATGTGAAGGAGCCATGAGTCAGATTCAGCTCTCATAGGTCACCACCTGCAAGTCCTTCATGTATATAGACAGAGAGACCAAGTGTCTTGTATAATAGTTTGTATAATTTTCTTGTAATATAATATTCTTGTTCTACTCATGCAACTGCAGGATTTGCATCAGTGTTTTATCGAAGGGGAGGCATGTGCACTTAAAAGGGGTTGACTCGGGCTATGTTTACACTGCATGGATCAAGTGACCCAATTCCAAATCTTTTTTTTTTTTGCTGCCATGTGGCACAGAACAAATTTGGCCCATGTACGTGGAAGCAGGAAGAAATCGCATGGATTCCAATTTACTCCAATCAGATTCAGGCCTTGTTGATATGTGGACATTTATTTGATATGAATCATATACGGGCCCTCATGTCTGCAGCCTAGTCATGTCTGTAAGCAGGTAGACTAGATTTTCACCTGTCAATGCCAGTCACACGCCTTTTTAAAATAGTAGTGAATGATGGAAACTTTGACACCTTCATTGCGGAACCGAGATATAACAAAATAAAAATATAAACAGACAAGTATAAACAATATATATACACTTGCCGGCCACTTTATTAGGTATACCTTACTACGACTGGGTTGGATCCGCTTCAGAACTTTCCTAATCCGTCATGGCATAGATTCATCAAGGTAACGGAATTATTCCTCAGAGATTTTGGTCCTTATTGACATGATAGCATCACACAGTTGCTGCAGAATTGTTTGCTGCACATCCATGATGTGAATCTCCCGTTCCACCACATCCCAAAGGTGCTCTATTGTATTGGAATCTGGTAACTGTTGAGGTCATTTGAGCACAGTGAATTTATTATCATGTTCAAGAAACCAGTCTGAGATGATTTGCTCTTTATGATATGGTGCATTATCCTGCTGGAAGTAGTCATCAGAAGATGGGTACACCTATGGTCATAAAGGGATGGACACGGTCAGCAACAATACTCAGGTAGGCTGTGGTGTTGACACAATGCTCACATGCCTGTCAGAGTGTGCCTCAACCTCCACCTCGGCTGCGTCCGATAAACAGCACAGTGACAGACATAAGTAAGCAGATCTCATGTAATGTTTGTGGGAAATCCTACAATAAGAATTTTCTCAATGAGTATTTGTTGTTTGTTGTGAAGTTAATTCAAGCCTTTCGATGAGTCACACACAATGTCAATACAAATTTCTCACTCTCTCTCTCACACACACATACACACACACACATTTGATTTTGTGAAAAGTGGGTACATTACATAGCTTTCCATTTTTTTTAATGCAGCAAAAAACGTATATTGTATTGCCCTTTCCCCACCCTACCCCTAAACCCAGCCATCACAGGAGACTGTGTACAGCTTTACTCTTTGATGAAACTCATTCTGTGTGATTTATAAGCATTTTGAGAAATGATGATGTCACCAATGTCCTCATATTTCACCTCCTTTTTGTAATACCTGTGTCATACCCATGTCATTATACAGATTTGTGTCCTGATATGTCACAAACACACACACACACACACACACACACACACACACACACACACACACACACACAGCATGCAAGTTTTACTTTGCTCTGTTTTTGCACACAAATCTGACAGGATACACATTTGATACATTAATACGTGCTACTACGGAGACATGATAATACGTGGCTGTCAATCAATTCGGTGGGCGGAGAAACCACACTCCTACATCACGTTGCAGTGGGCCTCAAAATAGGATTGAATTTGGATGCTATTTTTTAACATCTTGAAATAAAAAAAGAGACATTTTGTCTTTATATCACCACAATATGACAGTGGACACCATATTCCTACACACAGTTCTGTCCAAACAGCTTACAAAAGATAATTTTCATCATTGGTGCCTTTTAAGTCTTTTCTGTGAACTTTACCCTCCCAAAATCCCACATTTATTTTTCCAGTTGTCGAAGCAATTTGACACTGCCCTCTACTGTATTGAGCACAACCAGGAAATGGTTTGTGGTGAGGAGAACACTGGTTGACCACAGTGCTGTGGTCAGATAAAACCGAATCTCTGTGATCTTATAACACTGATGCTCCAAAATCAATAACTACATTTCAGTTACATTTAGATTTATACAAGTGTTGTATTTTAATTGATACTGTTGCTAAGACAAGTTATTTCATAGGACTTTGTTTGCAATACTGCACCTCCAAGTGTCAATCAAAATATTTTTGTGAAATTACTTGTAAGGACGTCTATGCAGTTATGGATAGTCAAACTCGTAGTGCAAACTCATTTATGATTTTGTGTTTAATAACCTCATAAATGTTTGTTGAGCAATGATTACAAGTTTAATAACACCTGCATGACTCATGATTTCAGGAACTTACAATAGAAAGAACAAATGCTTAAAGGCATTGCAGCTGGAAGGGCATCTGCTGCGTAAAACATATGCTGAATAAGTTGGTGGTTCATTCCGCTGTGGCGACCCCAGATAATTAAAGGGACTAAGCTGAAAAGAAAATGAATGAATGATTCTACAGAGAAAAAAAATATCTATAGAGAAAGAGAATGTTTCGAGTTTCAATGGGGCCCCATTCCCAGAATTTCTTAGAGCCCCCAAATCTGCCCCTGCATTCAAGTAATTAATAATTCATTTTAATTCTACCTATGTTTTGTATATTGCTCCACATTGCATTATGTTTTAAGGTTAAGTTCAATCTCTGGAAAATTTATTGGTAGAAAAATTTCAGCACTTTTTTTGGCATAGTTTTATTTTTACACATTATCAATTCTGTCGATTGTATTTCCATATAAGATTTAAAGAAGAGACATGGTCTTTGCCAGTTACAGAATTCTTAAAGCTATCATTAAAACTATGATGAACTATGATGGTGCTTTGATGAACTGATCAAAGCACCACAATCATAACATTTCTGTGCCAAAAAACCAAGTGTAATGTCCTATTGATTCTGTACTTCACATTTTAACCACAGAGGGGAGTTCCTCCTCTTCCTCCACAAGGGCTGGAACTGAATCTGTGGGGTTTTCAGAAAGGAGAAGGTCTTTCTATTAGTGATTTCTCCAGACCTGTCGCCGCTATAGGTTAGCAGTGCAGGTCCAGACAGCAAGAGCAACAGTTCGGCTGTGTGACAGATTGCAGAGAAAAGTGCAGGGCCATCCGTGTGGAAGAGTCAGTCATGCAGACACGGCCTAAACATAGTCTATACCTTGCTGAGGGCTGAAAATCAAAAAAGGAGAGGGTATAAGAAGCCAAAAACTTGCTGGACTGAATAATCTAGTGCTCCACATGAAAGAGGCTTCCACTATACATTCATTCTCCTGTAAGGCAAGACCCTGCAGGTGAATAGGATAAAAAAAGAACCTGTAGTAAACTAAAAAATATCTATAAATGATTGATGTGATCGATGTTTTTGTTTTTCCCTGTTTATCTATGCTTTTGAATTGCATTATGGAATCTTGATCTTCCTTTCAACAACTTTTAATCTTTAAAAGTATTAAAAGGTGACTTTTATTAACACTTGCTATAGTTTAAAGTCTTTAAAGTAATATATTTTCTGGATTTATAATTTTATATTACAGTACTAAAAACCTTGTAATTTTACAGACATATTTCTCTCTATTTTGTATACACTATTATTTACTACTACTACTGCTACTACTACTACTTCTAAAATGTCCATAAGAGTGACTTTGTTAAACTGTGGAGTTGAATTTTCAACAACAAAACTGGACAAAGCAGAGATCAAGGTCCCATAATGCAATTTACAAGTGCAAATAAACCAAATACAGTACACTTGTGAATCACAAAATATTTAAGTTTATACTTCCCATATTGGTTACATTTTAAGAATCGCAAAAGTTTTTTGTATTACTCATTTGTAAAATGTTATATTTAAATATGCAAATGAGGCATTGAGCACAATATGTATCATTTGTTTTAAATTTAGTTGGCTTTTGTCCTCACGTTATCTCTTACATTATTGGAAGAATGTTTATATCTAGAGAAATTAGTTATTTTTTATAGGACAGTAAATTAGCAGCAAGTGAAGTGAGATTGAGAGAGAGTGGCACTGGATCTGTAAAGGTCCATGAGCCGGGATTTGAACTTGGGACACCTGGAGCACTGCTGCGGTATATGTTGATGCACTTACCACTAGGCTGTTGTGGCAACAACAAAAAAGAGCCATTTTATTTTGTGACACAGACTGTGTAGTGATTGTGACTTAAAAAAAAGCTTCGCTAATTTAGTTTCATTTTGCGTTCATCTTTCATCAGCAATGTCTTTAGCACTCTCTTTTTGCTTTGACCATTTTCAGCCTTAAGGCTCGTTCATACGGGAACGCTTTTTGCTTGCATTTTTTTTGTCAAAGGTTTTATGACATGTTACTATATAAAGGGTGCCAATGTGATCGTGCATGCCAACGTGCAAAGCACCTGGTGTAAAAGCGTCATTTTTAAAGAAACGCCTCATCCTTGTTTTTTGTTTTGACGTGCCGCATCACAACCTTCTTCACCAATCAGATTGACATTATTGTTCAGGTTCACATAGATGCTGAAGTTACAGTACACACCATTGAAGGCACTCAGGCACAAAACTGTTAATGTAAGCGCACATTGAAGAAGATACCCAGAGGCGATATGAACGTGGAGTATGCCATGCATGCTCGTTTGCATCGCCAGTAACTTTAACAACAAGCATGTCAATTTTTCTTCTTCTTCTGATACAAATTGGTGTCAGGAGCTCAAAGTTGTGTAGCGCCACCCTGTGCACCATGGTCTTTTTGCTTTTCATTAGGCGCCATCTAACATCGAGTGACTTTGCATACTTATCTGCTTGACGCCAGTGTAAATCGCTTGAGTTTGAATGCAGAAAATAGTCTCAAAATGCTGATAATAAACGCAAACAAAAAGCGTCCTGGTGTGTATGAGTCTTTACTTTGCTTCATACTATATTATGATAATAAGTTTTGAATACTTTTGCTCATCTGTAAAGATTGTAAAGATTCCACACTCAAGTGACAACATCATCAAACTGTTGATGTTGAGACGCAGAGAACGGGCTCGCGTTCTTGTAAAGACTGGTTTTGCTAGGTCACCTTGGAAGAACGAACTCGGGAGACCGCGAGAATAGAGAATGCGTCCTGTGAGAAATGAGGTGCTGCGTTCTTCCTGATGGTCATGTGACCTTCACGCATCTTTAACCAAATATTATTTAAACATTTCAGCATTCATACAGCAATTTATTGTTTTCCCCTTTTCACATTATATGCTATGCATAGACTTTTTAGAAATATACGTTGCACATTTTAACGTAATATTACGTTGCAGATTTTAATACAGATTTTAACAAATGAGCACCCTTAATGTGTTTATTCCCTTATTAAGATTTTCATGGTAATGTTTATTTTCACCGTTTTATTTCGGGAAGGTAAAGAAGTTTATATCTCTGAACTTTAACAATAAACCTATATTAAATACTGCGCTTCCCACTTCCAGTCGCAATGATTTCTGGAACTTCTAGAGTGAGTTCGGGGCTCAAGTCTGCATCGTTTTTATGCATCCTCCGCTCTTGAGGTCTTGAGTATTGGAACTGAACTTTGGCTGTTAATGATGACGTTACATAAGAACACGAGGACGCAAGACCACTGAAGTACACGTATTAAGAAACAGCCTTTGTTTGTTGTGAAAATGCACACTCTTGTGACGAAAAGTCCTAAAGAAATCAAAACTAATCATATGACTTTGTTAGCTCACATTGGCTGTTTTGTGACGAACAATGTGACTAACATATTTAACCACGCTGGCTCAACTGTCAGTTTTGACAACAAACAGAAATAATGAGCAGGAGGAGTCTGTTAGGTCGTAATAAATCTCTCCAAACACTTTTCCCGATCTTTCTGACTAAAGGTTTTAAACCACACGAGGAAGAGTAAATGATGAATTTTTTTTGTTTGTTTTGAGAGAACTTATTATTATTTTTCTATTAAACTGAAAAACACTTAATATCAATCTCAAAATCTTAGTGTCTTGCCCTCAAAGCAGCATTTTAAGTGTTGTCCCGAAGTAATGTTTCCACTTATAGCAGTCAGGATGGCCGTAAATGAACCCGTGTGGTATTTCCCCGGCGAGGTATATCCCGTATGGGAGTGTTAACAGGTTTAGGTGTGGATCAGCAATGCTAAGCAGCCTAACGATCAATCCATCAATCTTAATGATTTACTGTTGAGAACGTCCCTACAGCCAGTGCCAAATACCACAGTGTGAATGTCAATGGAGGGAACTTATTTTAAGCAGGCATATTAAGTCAACAGTAGTCAAAATTTGAAGTTAATCAAAATCTTTTATCAAAGTTGCCCTATATTTGTTTATTCAACACCATTCTTGTCTTAGCTTGGATTTTAAAAATGTTATTGAACCGCTTCAAATCTTGACTACTGTATTTAAATCCTACAGTTTTTCAATATAGATGTATACTACTATTTACCTTTTTCTGCAAGGTTTGGGAATGGGACATCTTTCTGTCCTCGTGCGTAGGTTAGTTTCAGTGTGTTGTTTTGAAAAGTTGGATTCTTCATATTGCGCTGCTTGCTGAGCTGCAGTCTTTTTTGATTGTAGTTAACAGATGGTCTACCCTTGAGGTTAATAATCAGACTGTTGAGTTGGTACAAATGTTCTTCATGGTCCATTTTTCGTGTCTTTATGCTTTTCTAGCACAGTTTTCCTCCCTGCTGTTACATCTTACAAATGTAAAGTGTGATAACATTTAGCATATTTATTCTTGTAATGCTGTCATTTATGTGTTGTGAATTAATTAATGCATACTACTTTGCATTTTTAAAGACATGGTTCACCACAAAATTTTAATTCTGTTATCGTTTACTATTCCTCCATTTGTTTCAAACATGTTTCCTTTCTTTCTCCTGTCAAACACAAACGAAAAATGTTATAAAACATTTATTGACTTAAGTTTTTGTTAATGCTATGTATGTTGAACAAAATATTTGCTGCTGGTTTCCAGCATTCTTCAGAATATCTTGTAACAGATGAAAGAAAGAATTTTATACAAGTTTAGGAGCACTTGATTATGGTGAGCACGTTTTCATGTTGCAGTGTACTAAACCACTAATGGCCGGTTTCCATTGAGTGGTATGGTACAGTATGGTTTGGTACGCTTTTATGTCGATTTCCACAGTCAAAGTGTACCAATAAGTAATCTTTACCGTACCACATTTGGGGTACCCTTTCCAAAGGCACAACAAAAGGGTACCAAAAGGCGGAGCGAGAAACATAGCTATTGGTTTACAGAGGAATGTCACTAGCGCTTGCAAAAGCCAAGAGAATGAAAACACAGGAAGCGACATTTTTTAAATACAAAGCGGAATCATTGCATAGTAATACTACATACATTTATAGCGAGTCATGGTTGACCCATGCTCAAACAAACCTAATGTCCTGAAACAAAAAAGTCATGTCCTGTTTAAGCATCAGTGGTATTGTTTTCTCGCTCTTGCTTGCCGCACATCTATATTTGAAATAACAAACTTCTCGAGCTGATGATAAAAATGTGATTTTTGAAGTACTTCTGACATCAGATCCTTTCAGAAATGTACAAATGTGAGAGTGAAGGGCGAAAAAACAACGGAGAAGCCATAAAAAACAAAGGAACAAAAGATTCTTTCAGCAACCTAAAACATGATCAAACTGCCATAATTCTAATTCATCACAAGCCTACTAAAGTTGACTCATTCCGAACCACACCATACTACTCAGTGAAAATGGGACTTGAAGGTCCTGTGAAGTGCTTTGAAATTTTTTTTTAATGTTTAATGTTATCTCAACTGAAACATGTAGGCACGAAAGAATGTTTGGCTCCTGTTTTTGAAAAATAGCCAATAGCATTTTGCTTGTTTCAAAGCTGAGAAAAAATAATTGGAAGCATATTGAAGGGGGCAGGGCATGTTAGATATTAGAGAGCATTTGATTGGTCAGAAGATTTGTTGAGAAACTGAAGTATGATGTGATGATGTGATTTATGCACCATGAGTTTTATCTTCTCCCTTCTGGTATTCGATACAGAACACCTATTAGTAAAACAAATAGTTTAAAACTCTCATTCATCCCCTCAGCTGTAAAGTTTTTAAACTTAGGGTAGAATTTGTATTGTATGATGTACTTTTGTGTATTATGTGTGACATGCTTGTATGCTGCAACCAAATTGCCTTCGGGAAATGAATAAAGATTGACTGACTGACTGATATCATAAAAACCGCTGATCCATTTATGTGAAACAAACAGCAAGATTTGGATGTTTGATTTCTTTAAATGCAAATTTGGTCACTGTTTTGCAGCATATTAACTTATCGATATCTTTAAGACCAATATATTATACTAACATTTTCTTTTTTTTCACAAATGAAGATATTGTAGATTAATTCAGAGATCCTCATTAAGAGCCATCGATCAAGTAGTCATTCATTCATTCGACTAACTGACTAGTTGATTTTAAAAGTATGGAATTTTCCTCATCTTTACTCCATATTCACATGTGCCTTGTCCTCTGTAATGTAATTTTCAATTATTGATGAGCTCTGCTGAAAGAAATCTCTCTGTTTAATATTTCATTAATGTCAAAGCACTGAAATAATTGGATTGTTTCAGACCTGTTCTCATCACTTCAATTCCTCAGGTATTTTCTGTCACGATATGACAGAGAAGATGAATAGCCCATCATGTCACTCTTCTATAAAAGAAAAAAAACTATAGCTAAATGGCTCTATGAGTATTAGAAATAACCACTGTAGCTCTGTATAATCGCAATATTGGTGTATTTGTGGTATTGTCTGAGTATGTTTGTGTGTCTCCTCAGCGGGAGAAATGTTTTCTCTGTCTGACAGTAGCGTCTGGCCACTGTGTGTCATCATAACACTTCAGTACAGTGAGTGCAGATTCTCCATATTTCAGAGCTCATTGAAAGGGTCACACTCAGACAGACATAAATACTATGTTTTATTTGCTGTTGTATTTATGCTGTATCGCTCTGTAATTAAATGTAAACCCACTAATTAAATATAATCACCATTCTCATTGCTTCTCATGCTGGCATTAATTTAATCTCTTTTTTTTTATGACCATTTTTCTATTTCTATCTAATGACTAATTAGCAATTCGATTTGGTTTTGTTTTTTTATTTGTTCATTATTTTAAAATGGTTTTGATTTAAATGTAATATTATTATACTTGATATAATATATAATTTTACCTGTCCAGGAACTGCAGGTGGAAAATAGCAATCTTGCTACAACCTGGCACAATGCATCTTTGAGGTTAATGTAATTTTTGTGCATTGTCCCTGTTAAATAAATTCATTCATTCATTCATTCATTCATTCATTCATTCATTCATTCATTCATTCATATTGATTTAATATTACTGAGAAAAGTACAAGAGTAATAATCAAATTAATAAAATTATTTACCAATAATAATAATAATCATTATTAATTAACATTAGTTTTTTAAAATAATAATAGTAAAAATAATAATAACAATAATAATAATAATAATAATATTATATTATAACATTGTTATAATAGTAACAATATAATAATAATAATAATAATAATAATAATAATAATAATAATAATACCAACAACAACAAGAATAATAATAATAATATTATATTATAATATTGTTATAATAACAAAAGAATGATAATAAATAAATAACAACAACACCAATAATAATAATAATAATAATTAATAATAATAATAATAAATAAACTAATAATAATAATAATAATAATAATTATTATTATTGTTATTATTAAATAGAGTTAACCTAAATTTATTGATGTGCACTTATCCTATTGTATTATTTGTATTGTTGTTGTTGTTGTTGTTGTTGTTGTTGTTATTGTCGTTGTAATTGTCGTTGTTGTTACTGTTGTTATTTTTTGGTCTCATAACATTACTATCTTTAAAAATTATGGATGATTACTTGTAATAGCTGTATATAATATCACAAATTGAGGCTCACTGCTAAAAAACAACAAATGACTGCTTAAAATCATAGACTGATTACAATGACAAACACTTCAGGCTTGTAAAATGTCATCTTCACCTTCAGATAATCTCTGAATGTTCTCAGCTATGGGACCTTATACCATCTGGCATATTACCATATCCGTCATAACCTTCATAACTTTCTCAGTTTGGTAACTTTTCCCACCATGTCATCACACAGCCTTTTTCTCTGCATGGAGAAGATATTAAAAGACAGATTTCAGCAGAAACGAATGTTGGAACAAAGACTCACTTGGCCAACGAGAGAGGAGTTTCTGTGGGCTTCACGGACGTGTTTCTCTTCATCCGCCGCTTTCAGTCTTTCTGGTATCTGATCGTCTGATGGCATCATGGGAGTTCAGCAATCTGTCATCTAGATATTCCTCTGTAAAGCAGTGAAATGATTAGCATCAGCCTGCGTACGCCGTTTATTATGGGAGATGTGCTCATTGTTCTCGCTCAAACTGCTGAGCAAACCGTAATACACAAACTTTTTGCTTGATGAAATGCTTCGACATCAAGCCAAGTGTATGGATCTGCGTGCAAACCGTCCTTTCCTCCTTGAAACTCTCAGCAGTGGGATTGATTTTGAAGTTAGTAATAAGCCTCAGCTTTCGGATGAATTATTCTTTTTGGATCGAAACTGCTCCAGAAGTCATTGTGTATATCAGCAATGTCACGCTGCCAGATTAAATCACATTGTTGAAGATGGGATTGGGTGATGGAAAGCATTCTGTTTTTAATGCTTAGAAATGTATAAATCCATGGAAATTATGGCTCTTGTCATATGATTATGTCTTTGTACTTAACGAAATAAAATCTTTGTTTATGTAGCCTTTGATTATAATCATTAATGATTATTATAGCAATATTATTTCTAGTCTATTTTTTTTGTTCATTAGCAATTCTACAAATGCTTTTAGTTATCACCAGTTTTTTCACTATTTGAACAGAAAGAGCAAAGGTCTAAAAATTTGTTAAAAACTTTAACAATATTAATAAGGGTCTATTAAAATTATAGTTCAAAATTAAATGTTAATAATAGTAATAATAAAAATAATAATATTAATAAAAAGTATAATAATGATGATAATAATAATAATATATAATAATAATAATTATAATACTGTATGATTATAACAATAAATAAATAAATAAATACTGTAAGTAATGTTGTTGTTAGTTGAATTATAATTAGCCCTGTCCAAATTGTGCAGTAGTTTCAGATAATTTAACTGTTGCAGACTTCACCACATGTCTATTTATTTTCTGATTACATAACATTACATTGATTTAGGTCAAATGTGATCATCTGGCCCGTATTTGTTTTAATTGGTTCATTTTTTACAAATGGTTTTGATTGAAATTAAATATTATTAAATATATTATATGTCATTAATTTATTCATTTTCTTTTCGGCTTAGTCCCTTTATTAATCAGGGGTCGCCAGAGCAGAATGAACCGCCAACTTATCCATCATATGCTTTATGCAGCGGATGCCCCTTCAGCAGCATCCCAACACTGGGAAATACCCATACACTGTTGCTTTCACGCACATACACTACGGCCAATTTAGCTTATTCCATTCACCCTTACCACATGTCTTTAGAATTTGGGGGAAACCGGAGCACCTGGAAGAAACTCATGCGAACACTGGGAGAACATGCAAACTCCACACAGAAACGCCAACTGACCCAGCCGAGGCTCGAATCAGCGACCTTTTTGCTGTGAGGTGACAGTACTGTGTAAGATTTAAATCGAACTTTGCTTTTCAACACACACATAAGTCATGTGCACATACACCTATAAATTACTCGCATATACACCTAATTTACTAGTAATATACTATTTAATGCTCAAAACAACATATATGAAACTTGCATATATACATATAAACTTGACGCATGCACACACCCACATACGCACGCACATACATATAAACTCAATCCTTGCATAAACACCCACATTAACATGCACATACAAATAAACTTGCTTCATGCAAACACACCTATACACGCATGCACATATATAAACTCGCTGCCTGCAAACACACCTATACGCACACGCACATACATATAAACTCGTTCTATGCAAATGTATGTTTGTAATATTGTGTTTTGTGTGTGTATTTGTTTGTTATTGTGTGGTTTATGTGGGTATGTTTGTAATAGTGTGGTTTGTGTGTGTTTATTTACAATAGTGTGGTTTGTTTGCACATGTTTGTAATAGTATGGTTGAGTGTGTATGTGTTTAGTTTTGCAGTTTGTGTTCATATAGTTCAGTGTACATATGTACATGTGTTTGTACTGTGTACAATTGTGTCTGTATGTTTATAATGGTGATGTGTGTGTCTATAATAGTGTGTGTTGTTTGTGCTGTGCATTTGTGTATTTATATTATGTTCATATTACTTGTGTATGTGTTTGTGTGTAGTGCAGTTTGTGTGTACTGTATGTGTTCATAATAGACTGCTGTGTGTGTGTGTGTGTGTGTGTGTGTGTGTGTGTGTTGTGCTGTGAATTGTGTATTTATATTAGAGTGTTGTGTGTTTGTTTGTGCTGTGTGTAGTGTGGTTTATGTGTATGTGTATATGACTGTGAATGTGTTTAATAGTGTGGTTTGTGTGTGTATATGCATTTGTTATAGTACAGTAGTGTGTTTATATGTTTGTAATTGTGGTGTGTGTTTGTACTGTGCAGTTTGTACTGTGTGTATGCATGTATTTATAATAGTGTGTTTGTGTGTAGTAGTGTTGATGTGCATGCCGCTCTGCACTGATGATGTAACTGCTCAGATGATGTAGTGTGGCAGGAGGGAGGAGGGGAAGAGCAGAAATCATCACACACACATTTATTACTCCCTGATAATAAAGCCAGGACTCATCATTTAAGACCAGCTCCACAGTGAAATGCACCCACATTAAGTCTCAGTGATCCTATTAAACATAGCTTTTTACAGAGAAAATAAAAAAGCAACTGTTCTATAGAAATATGCTTTACCTGTAGTAGTTTCATTGTTTTAATGTGCATTATCAGTCAAAAAGTTGACTTCAACTTACAGTAGGTAATGCTGCACGATTCATTGAAATGTGTGTACATATACAGTTGAAAACAGAAGTTTACACACACTCTAAAAAGGAACAACCATTTTAAAAAAAAATGTCTGATGGTAAATCATACTAAACGTTTACTATTTTAGGTACGCTAGGATTACCTAAATGATTTACATTTGCTAAATGGCAGAATAATGAGAGATTTTTTTTTTTTTTTGGAGAATTTTTTTATTTATTTCTAGACAGTCAAAAGTTTACATACATTTCCTTAGTGTTTTTTATTTTAGCTTTGGTTTTAAACTTTGGTCAAATGTTTTGGGTATCCTTCCATAAGCTTCTCACAGTAGTTTGAATGAATTTTGGTCCATTCCTCCTAATAAAATTGATGTAACCGAGTCAGATTTTTAGGCTTTCTTGCTCGCACAAGCTTTTTCAACTCTGCCCACAAATTGTCCATATGATTGAGATCAGGGCTTTGTGATGGCTACTCCGAAACATTCACTCTGTTGTTCTTAAAGCACATTTTAACTATTTTGGCAGTATGCTTAGGGTCATGGTTTGTTTCGAAGACCCATTTGTGACCAAGTTTTAATTTCCTGGCTGATGTCTTGAGATGTTGCTTCAGTATTTCTACATAATGTTCTTTCTTCATGATGCCATCTATGCTGTGAAGTGGACCAGTTCCTCCTGTACCAAAACAGCCCCACAACATGATGCTGCCGCCCACATACTTCACAGTTGGGATGGTGTTCCTAGCCTTGTAAGTTTTCCCCTTTGTCCTCTAAATGTAACACTGGTCATTATGGCCAAACAGTTCAATCTTAGTTCCATCAGACCACAAGGCATGTCTCCAAATATTATTCTTTTTCCCAGTGTAATTTAACAAATTTTAACCTGGCTTTTTTGTTGATTCTGGCTTATTGATTTTCCCATGTTATCACAAAAGGAAGCAGTGTGTTTTAGGTTTTCGTTAAATACTATTCTACAGTTGTGCCTACAATTAACTCAAATGTTGTCAATCAGAAACTTCCCAAACCTTGACACCATCGTCTGAGCTTTTTCAGAGGCACAATAATTATATTCTATGTAAACTTGACTTTCAAGAAAATTTTCCAAAATACATCTCTCTCCTTATTCTGCTATTAAGCATAACACAAACAAATTATATATTCCTAACTTAGCTAAAAGAGAAAAAGTTTAGTCACATTAACATCTGACTTTTTTTTGGTTTTGTACCTTTTTATACCAGTGTATTTAAACTTGTGGTTTCAAGTGTGTGTGTGTGTGTGTAAGTGTGTGTGTGTGTGTGTGTGTGTGTGTGTATGTGTGTGTATATGTGTGTGTGTATATGTGTGTATATGTGTGTGTATGTGTGTGTATATACATACACTAATCAGGGATGCAATAATGATAGATTTTGGTTGAGGAATAATCAGGGTTTCATGGTTAGCATGATTATGAATTCATTAATTTTAAAACGCTACTAGTTTAGAAAATAACATGAAAAATCTTTACATTTTAAAGTGTTATTTATTGCTGCTCACTAACCAAATAACGCAACACAAAATAATGTGAGTGTGTGTGGATGTTTCCCAGAGATGGGTTGCGGCTGAAAGGGCATCCTCTGCGTAAAATTTGCTGGATAAGTTGGTGGTTTATTCCGTGGTTCATTCCACATTTTAGACAAATTATCTAAATTAAATTCCCTAATTAGTAAATGAAAACTATTAACAATTACACAATTCCTCATGATGATAGCAGGGCTATATATGCCTTTTTATGATCTTCCATTTTATATAAAAAAACTATTAACAAGTAAGGGGGAGTGGACATAATATTTATGAATAGGCATGAAACGTAAGGTTTTATAACAGAAATGCATTCGGTTAAGAAAAAATGGTGACAAAAATATTAACATTAAAGAATGTGGCTGTAACATTATGCTTTAGCTAGAGCATTTTTCATTCAATTATTATCTTTTCGGCTTAGTCTCTTCATTAATCAGGGGTCACCACAGCGGAATGAACTGTCAACTCATCCAGCATATGTTTTACGCAGCGGATGCCTTTCCAGCTGCAATCCAATGGGAAACACCCATGCACTTTTGCATTTACACATACACTACGGCCAATTTAGCTTTCAATTGACCTTTACCGCATGTCTTTAGAACATGGGGAGAACATGCAAACTCCACATAGAAAAATACCAACTGACCTAGAAAAGGCTCGGTGCAGCGACCTTCTTGCTGTGACCTTCTTGTGCTACCCATTGCGCCACTGTGACGCCCGCTAAAGCATTTATTTATCATATATTGATTATTTTATGAACAATAATTTACCTTTTGACTTAATTTCAGTATGTTCACAAAGTGTTAAAGAAGTATCGGTTAATGTAAATTACCGACTGTTAGCTGATGGCCTTTGCTGTGTGTTTTAGATTAAAGTGAAAAACTGTGTTTTTTTTACACTAATGACTCTTAATCCTGTGGTTTCAGAGTCAATCAGATTTAAGTAAATTCAGTGTCATCTCCAATTCATTTGTGCATCTCTTTTAAGAATTGTATTGAAATTAAAAATGAGATACTGGAAAAGGGTGGACTTGATTTTGAGAGTCTGTTCCTCGTGATAGTCGTAAATATAATTTAAACCACACTGAACTAAACTAAACTTAAACTCTGAAAACTGGACTGACACGTTTTTAATTGACTAGAACTTGTATGTTAAGCTGCTTTAACACAATCTACATTGTAAAAGCGCTATAGAAATAAAAATTAATTGAATTGAATATAACATTTTAAATATAGTACAGTATACACCCAATGGCCACTTATTAGGTACACCTTACTACTACTGGTTTGGACGCCTTTTTGCCTTTAGAACCGCCTTAATTCATTGTGGCATAAATTCAATAAGGTAATGGAAATATTAAAAATCCTAGTTGATTAGCAGATTCTGAAATACTTAGACCAGCCCGTCTGGCACCAACAACCATGCCATGTTCAAAGTCACTTAAACCATCATTCTTCCCCATTCTGATGCTCGATTTGAATTGCAGCAGATCATCTTGACCATGTCTACATGCCTAAATGCATTAAGTTGCTGCCATGTCATTGGCTGATTAGAAATTTGTGTTAACGAGCAGTTGGACAGGTGTACCAAATAAAGTGGACTGAGTGTATACATTAAGAAAAGGTTAACCTTTAATTTATTAACAAAAAATATAAAGGTAATTGATAGTTGCTTTCTTAGAATGATCAAGATTTTTATAGTTCTAAATAATTCATTTTTGGCTTGTAATTGGAATAAATCAATGGTTTGATGAGGCTGGCTTATATTTATGTACTTATAGGCCAATTATGCAATTGTGTACCTTTGTTTATATTGAGGCACACCATTTCACTGTAGAAACTTTTATTTTAAGATATTTTCTAGTAATGTGATGGAAAAATTGGAAGTGTTATAATCAGCAATAAGCATTCACATACAGTAGGGCTTTTATTTGAATGTTTCATCATGACATAAAGTAGCTGCTTTTACCTGAAATGGTTTATCTGAACCAGGTTCATTGAAGCAAATCATCTGAAAGTAACTGTTCACCAAAAAGCTTTGGGCTTCCAATCATTATTAGCAAACAAGAGTCTAATTAACGATTAGCTCTGTTAAAAAAAAGACGAGTCGATTCCACTTGATGTAATCGATTCCAACTCGAGTTTCCATTCTCAACACCTCAAAATCGATTTTTTTTGGAATCGACTCTCAGCTCTAGATTAAAGACCGCTTTCTGCCAAATTAATGACCATTTTCTTCAATATTGTTTGTGTTAGTTTATAAATAAGCTTGACAACATTTAGTATGCTCAAAGCATCCAGCATGCTTATTATTTCTGCAGAACACAAATTAATGATGCCTACATAAAATATCGCTGATGTAATATGAACATGTTTTTGTGGCAGGTTTTCCAGAGAAGAGTTCATGAACACTTGAAACACAAAGTAATTCCATTCTTTCTTAGGGTTGGACCTAATCCTTATGAATATAACTTGTTTAAAATGTAAGAACACCATTGGTTGAAGTTATCGGTCTGACTTGTGAATGCATGACAACCATCTGGATGATAAACTACTGTCATCTGCTTTAGGTTGTCAAGTTTTTACCTTCACCCTCTTATTGCTCTTTGAGATCAGATTTCATAACTGCACATCGGAGGTCATTCTAGCTGCAGTCTTCCCTCCTCTGGTGTCCTCGTGTTTGTAAATCTGTTGAGAAAGCACTCTCCATGTCACCCCGTTTCACCTCTAAATGGACCGGATCATTTTTATCCCCATCTCCCAGTCGGCTCTCCGCAACCGTCGGCTCAGAAACTCCTCAGCTTCTCTCTAGTGAACTGTGTAATAAGCTGAACGCTGCTGCTCGCCCCTCCCCCTTCAGTCTGCTTACCTCTTCTCTCTCTCGCTCTATCTCTTTCTCTCGGTCTCCGCCGTTTTGCCGCGTCTTGTTTGGATAGTTGATTGGGAAGCGTCCGAAGCTGCTCCTCTTTCCTCCGAGTCATGGCAGCGGCTCCTCTGCAGCAGGTGGAAGCGCAGCAGCACTGATGGATCTCGGAGGGTTCCTCGCAGTGTGACACGAGACCCCTGTGCCCTCTAACCCTCCTCCTGCTCCTCCTCCTCGTACCGCAACACCCCCTGGTCACGGAAGGCAGCATGGCTCCTCCAGAGCTCCCTCAAGTGCAGCTCTCTTCGGGAGCGCTCTAATCTGACGGGCCGATTGAGTCGAGTCAAGCGAAGAGATTGGAGATTGGAGTGGACTCAACTGACAAGGGCTCGCTGGATGAAGGCATCACGCCGCTGCTTCTGCTCCCCCTGCCACAGAGATGAGGGTGCACATCGAGAGCAGGCAGCGGGCAGCACTCGTGGAAGCTGTCGGCCGGCACCTCGACCGCTGATGGATTGAAGTGCCCAAGCGCAGAGAGAATGTCTCCCAGCATCAAAAACTTGGATTGCATTTCGCCAATGTTGTGCCACTGTAAAGTAGCATGCACCAACAGCACCATCTCACTTATGTTTGGATGCAAGGTAGGGAGTTGCTTTGAATTTGTATCGAGATTCATTCCGAAAGATGCATGAGGGGCATTTACTTAAACTTAGTTGTTTAAGTAAAAACTGGCACTGAGCTGCTAATTGTCTTCTCACACTGAGAGGAATTTTGATAACACCTTTCGTAGGATAAGATCTGAACATATGCTCCAGGTTACATCCTCATGGCAGCTATCCATTCCTTTGCTTGGGATCCTGGTACTCGTGGGTGATTAGGTTGGAAGTCTCGCAGAGTCTCCATTTGTTCTGACAAATTGAAAGCCTCAATGAGATCTCGAATGTTGGCAGACTGAAGAGCTGAGGGTGTTCTTCTGCAAGTTTTCAGACTGAACCTAGCTAGCGTATTGTATGTTCCCTTATGCCTTTACTTCCACCACTTTGGTGTACTTAAAAATAACAAAGTCCTGAGGGACTTCTTGGCTTCTGTTTACTGAAATAGACTGATTTCAGCTTGATTGAATGCAGCATCTTATAATAGTTTGCTTTCTTGATTAGGACTAAATAAAGCCCAGGCCTAAGATTCCTTTCGGTTCATTTTATGCTTGTCTAGTTCAGAGCGGGATGGCAAGTTCTTTTAGTTACATAACCGCTTGGTCCTCTGGGTGTCTTTTAGCCTGCGTCCCAATTAAATCTACTATGTGTGAATTCTTGTGTTTGTTTGTTTCATGGATGGTTTTCACTCTCTCTAAGTCTACTAAACATTGCAGTTTGCCCAGAATGTGAAGGATTACAGCTTCTCACTTTGCGCCTTCACGGACTGATCTGTCCTAAAAAGCTTCTTGTCGTTATAGCTTACCTTCTTTTCGTCTAAGCATTAGATCACAGAGCTTGGGGAAGCCCTTGTTAATGCCTAATGACCATCAGTCTCTGGCAGTGTAGGGCTAGCTCAGATCGAGATAATTTTAACCTAGACCTGTCTAAATAAAGATGATGCTCTGCTTGAGTCCTTCAGAGTACCTCACTGGCTGAATGTTTTATTTATAAGGACTGCATCTTGCTTCCATTTTTCAGGATAGTGAATCACACAATAATAAATAAGTAAAACTTCAAGAGCTTACAGTGAATACGTAGCATCACGAGACTTGAGTACTGTTTTACAGTAAGATTCAGTGCATTGAATATCATGAACTATTATTTTTTATTTGCTGTTATTTTTGTGTTTAAGTAAAACAGTGTGAATTAACACTAGATAATTTAAGTATTCACATACAGTTAAAGTCAAAATTATTAGCCCCCCTGTTTATTTTTTCCCCAATTTCTGTTTAACAAAGTGAAGATTTTTGTCAACTCATTTCTAAACATAATTGTTTTAAAAACTCATCTCTAGTAACTGATTTATTTTATCTTTTGAGTTTTGACCTTTAAAATGTCTATTCAAATTTTAAAAACTGCTTTTATTCTAGCCAAAATAAAACAAATAGGACTTTCTCCAGAAGAAAATTTATTATCAGATATACTGTGAAAATTTCCTTGCTGTGTTAAACATCATTTGGGAAATATTTAAAAAATAATAAAAAAAAATTTAAAAGGGGGGGCTAGTAATTCTGACTTCAACTGTACATTAATTCAAAAAAAAGGGCAGCTTATGTTTAGAACCTATATTACTAACTGCTGTATTCAGTAGTTGTTTACCAACACTTACTTTATTTACTCTTGTAAACTAATTGATTAATTATTTTTACAGGGTTTCTGCATGTTTCACAGAGTTAAATTTAAGACTTTTTAAAGTACATTTTTTAGACCATTATAAATTAATGTTTAGACTCATAAAACGCTTTATCAAATGGCCCAGATGGAAAAGATTTTTATTTGACCTATCAAAAATTTTTTTATAATTTATTACATTTAATAATACAATTATACATTAATAATACACAATTCAAATATTTTAGATGTTATTTATTAGCTAAATATTTTAAATATTGTGTAAAAACGAGCAAGCTCTACTTGTATCCATATACTTTTTTTCCGAACATAAAATTTCCTTAAAAAAAAAAATGAACAAATGTTTTAAAAGTTTTTAAAACTTTAATAAACTAAATCTATTGACAACAATCTGTCCAGATTTGTGTCCTCAGCAGTAAAAACATGGAGATCTTTTAAACAAACGTTATTGTAAGGAAAATAATTATACCATTATGATAAATAGAGTTAAAAATGACCTTTTTAAATAACAAATTTAAAGTTTTATTGAGATGGATTGTTGGTGATTGTCTGGGTTTTGGCCAGATTGGGTAGCAATACGAATAAATTAAAATTAAGACCTGTTTAAAAAAAAGATTTAGGACCTACAATACATTATCACTGTAAATTTAGGACTTTTTCATATTGGGTGCTAGTGGCTGGGATGCACAAGAAAAGAAACCAAAAAGCCACTCTGGCGACATCCTAACATCCTTTTTTATTTACAATCTCCTCACTGCTGCTATATGGCACTCATTTTCGCGTGTGTTGTTTTTTCGACCTGAAGTGACTAGCACGAGCGTGTGGTTTCCTTCACCACTTTCAATGCGCTTTGTGCTGGCACTCGCGTTCCCCTGCCATTTTTCTGTAACTACAGTAGGCGAACGTCAACAATTTTCTCAGAGGATGACAAATGGACAAACTATTGCTGCAGCTTTGATACAAATTTAAGGAGAATTAAACAACACTGCAGTGTTTGGGTGTGCTGTGTTTATCTGAGGTACAGTAATTAGTCTGCTGGTACTGAAATGTGTATATTCCATACAAAGGGTAAAGCAGAATTGGTTAGTTCTACTTGCATGAATTGCGGTGCGCTCGCCGTATTTGGAAAAGTTAAGATGTTTTAAACTAGGTGTGCCTGGAAAATGCTCGTGCATCACTCGTGTGTCGCTTGGACACCAATTTAAAACCCGTTTAAAAAAAGATTTAAGAACTACAACACAGTATTTCAGTAAATGTAGGACTTTTTAAGGCCTACAATTTTGGTTTTGAATTGTAAGACATTTTAAGACCCCTGTTTTATAAACCAATTATTACATCTCTTGTTGACCTACACACTCATTCAAAACTTTTGTTTTATTATTTTTATTTTTAAAAATAAAGCTATACATTTCCTGATTAGAGCCAGCATAATATATTAAGCACAGGTTTTTAAAATCAGAACCAGCTTGCTAATATCTGGTCTGGTGGGTTTACTGTAGTGCCGAAGAGATAAAAATTGGAGTAGGTTTGTGGGAAGGGGACTGAAGGTTGTTTAAATAATACAGCACCTCTGTCCATGCTGTCATCTGGCTTTAAAGACGCCTGACTGCAGTGAAGCCTGCTGGATACACAAGATTCCACATTGATAATTAAAGCTCACATGCACACATGAATCCTTCCTCAGATGCTTCTTTGCTTTGCTTAAACCCCAAGCATTTGTCAGATGAAGTTAAGCTGAGCTCTGCATAGCATTGATTTAATCCTGGGATGTGCTTGCCACACAGAAAGTGTTGAATGAGTGTGTGATATGCTTGTTTTTTTCTTGTGTAAAATGAAGGTTTGCTATTTTCTTTTAACTTATGTATTCGATTTATGTTCTGTCACGTTGATCAGCTGGTTTGTCTGTAAGCTGACATACGAGGGATCCACTGATGATTTTTGGCTTTGAAACACTCCCGTGTCCTTGTATCTGTAATTACACTCAGTAAACAGTGGTGAGTTTGGTGATCTGATGACTTTCATGACCAATCAATGTCATTTCTGTTGATCACGTGAACACAATGGCAAATCAGCGCTGTTTAAAAACATACTCAATGGCGCTCAAACATCAGCTGGAAATGGACATTTTTGAAACTTCATTATCGATTGGTACAAATTCCAGTATCATGCAACCCTACTAGAAAACCTCTGACCTAATCCTTTCCCTAAACCCAACCAATAGTGTTTCTGAACGCAAGCGTAAGAGACAAGGGTACTCTGACCACATAGGTGTACCTTGATTTTACATAGATTATTTTCTTTTATGGAATTAATCGTGCTTAACTGGACTCCATGGCAAACATATTTGAATTACAAATCGTAAGCATTAAGTTGTTTTTGTGGTATTTATTGGTGTTTTTAAAGAATGGCATGAAAATATTACTTTATTTGTTGAAAGTATGTCCTTGTTAATATCATTAGTGTGAAAAGGAACAAATATTGTTGTACCATTATTATACCATAACTGCAGTCAAATGTTATGTAAAAGTCAAAGTATGTTTTTGGTGTTTTACAAAATTGTGAACTAAAGCACATATTGACACATACAGTTGAAGTCAGAATTATTAGCCGCCCTAAATAATTAGACCCCCTGTTTATTTTTTTCAACACATTTCTAAACATAATAGTTTTAATAACTCATTTCTAATAGCTGATTTATTTTATCTTTGCCATGATGACAGTAAATATTATTTGACTAGATCTTTTTAGACACTTCTATAAAGCTTAAAGTAACATTTAAAGGCTTAACTAGGTTAATTAGGTTAACTAGGCAGGTTATGGTAATTAGGCAAGTTATTTTATAATGATGG